TTCATTTATAATTCATCTTTATTCTTTTCTTTTTAATTAGAATGAATAATTTTTTGCAGTTTTTAAATTTATTTCCTTAAATTCACTTCTTGTTATACTTTATTCATTTCATATCTATAAGCATCGAAAATTAACAGATCATACATATACATAAATATATATATATATATATATATATATATATATATATATATATATATTTAGGCACTATATCTTCATTCAAGCATGTTTCATTGATTAATATAGACATATTATGTGTATTTATTTTTGTAATAATCCTTTCTAGTTCTCTAATTATCTTCTTGATGTTAAGTTGAAATTCATCAAGGAAGGTGGCATATTTTTGTTAACCCAAGTACTTTCAATCTCCTCCAAGATCATTGTCTTACACTCCATTTGTCAGATACAGTTTCTACTACACAACATTTAAAAACATATCCATGTCCCCCTTCACAATATGAGAAAATACTTATTGACGACACCAATATAATACACCATGAAAATAATAAAAAAAAACTTCAAATTCTTGAGGCCGTTTATATCAAAAGCAACCAACAGATACTGAACAAAATTTATTATGAGTATAGTAGCAATGTTTTAAAATACATTTGAGTTGACTAATATATATAATAAGAAGGTGCCAGAAAATATGCACATGTCACTCAGTGTAGCCTAGGAGGAAAATCAGGCAGAGGTATTTCAGATGAGTTGGAAGTGGAGTTAGAAGATAACTTCTGGGTAAAACACTCTACCTTTATATGCAGTCAATACTTCAAATTGATCACAGAGATATACTTCTTTTTATGCACAACAATGTCATTGTACAGGATGGATTAAAGGAAAAATATTGTTCACTACAATGACAATGCAAAGCAACATTAAACAAGAATAACAGAGGAGACAATTTTGCAACTTGATTCAGTCTACCCACTTGGTAATTATCACCATATATATATATATATATATATATATATATATATATATTAAACCTTTCACCTGAAACAAGGCAACAAAGCCAGTAACACAGCACGTGGGGGGTTACTGAGTGTGAAAGAATATAAGAAAAACATTATTAAAAGCTTAGACAGGATTAACAATAAAAATATATATCAACATGGTGATTTTCTTTCATGTTTCAGTGATAATACTAAAAAGCTTATTCGACAATATGACAGGAATTTACTTAAAAAAAATAGAAAAACTTGTCTATATTTTTAATGAAACATGCATTAATATATATATATATATATATATATATATATATATATATTGTGGAACCTTGATTCACAAACTTAATTTGTTCCTGAAGGTTATTCTTAACCCAAAATATTTGTAAACTGAAACTATTTTTCTAATCAATGTAGAGAAATAAAGTGACAGTACAATAAAACTGGAAAAAAAAGCATGGTAGAACACAGGATTGTATACAACATGGCAGTCGACTCAGAAGTTAACTCAGTGTGGCCTGTCACATTGAAACATCTGTTCCTGTATGATTACTGAACTTAGGCAACATCAAGCCTGGCCAGTACCTTGCTGGGTGAGTGCTCGGGAATACCAGGTGCTGTAAGCATGGAAGTGTAGGTGGTGTAATGGATAATGAATTGGAAACCAGAGTTACAATTCCAGTTGAGTTTTTTACATACAAATATATGGAAATAACCTTGGGAAAGGTATGAATCCGCTCCTTCTTACAGTCTACTATGGGTAGGACAGATATCAGTAAAATCATTGTTATTTCCCAAAAATTCTTACAATCTTCAACATGGTAAAAAGCAACTCAGTCAATACAAATACACACACAAACATCTATATATATATATATATATATATATATATATATATATATATATGTATATGTGTGTGTGTGTGTGTGTGTGTGTGTGTGTGTGTGTGTAAAAAATATAGAGAATAGGAAAGAACTCATTAGATAAATCATCCAAAGTTCTTTAGTATTTGTGTACTTTAATTTCAATTTAATTCAAATAATTATATTGAAGTTTTCAGCTCTTGTTTTGAAATATGAGAACTCTTATGTAGCATTGGAATCATATTTTTAAATAAATAATTATATATATATATATATATATATATATATATATATATATATATATATATATACATGGTGTAACAGCAAAAATTGTTCAGATCATATAACAGCATAATTATACATCTCACGAAATGTTTAATACCTAAAAAAACACTAAACTAATTGAGTTACTTTTTTACAGTTTTTCAGGTAAGAGGTTTAGCCATCTTGATACCATTTGTCATAAGAATCACTGAAAAATCCTTTGAGTTATTCAGCTAAAAAGAAAACAGGTTAAATTCATTTTGTGTCAGCCCCCCTGTCTTCCTGACTGAGCAATGCTGAGAGGAAAAAGATCATTTAGGACTTCATTAATGGTACCAACATTCATAATATGGCTTCCATCTTCAAAGTTCATTCGAGAACCATCAGGAGAATGGTGAATATGTTTAAAAAAGAGGGAACAGTAAAGAGGAAATCTGGCTCAGGAGATCACAACAGCAAGAGGGATCATCCTTTCAACTTAGAGGTATGACATCAATTAGAAAATACCAAACTCAATCCATGAGATGTTTGGCATGTGAGAGAGGAGTTTCAGCTATGACAGTCCAAAGAGCAGTGAAAAAAGATTTGAAGATGAAACTGTACATGAAATCTCTAAGGCAACTTGTTAAACCAAGACAGAAAGTTAGAAGGTTAGAGAGGAATATATATATATATATATATATATATATATATATATATATATATATATATATATATAGATAATATTAGTGGCAAATATACATACGTATGCAAAATATATAAATACCCATACATGTATATTTTTAGAATAAAAATTCAAGAGGAAGAATCCAGGTAGAACTCAATGTCCAGGACAGAGTAAGGATATAATAAAAAGGCTTAAACACTAATATTCCATGGTCATAATTTATTCCATTGGAACTTTTGATTTGCAGGTCTGATGAATTGGATTGTATTTACGATTCCAATGGAATAAATTATGACCATGGAATATTAGTGTTTAAGCCTTTTTATATATATATATATATATATATATATATGTATGTATATATATATTTGAACTTAATTTCAATACTTCATGAGCTTCCAATCCTTAACTATGATTAATTAATGATGAAAATGCCATTTTTATTTATGATTGATTTCATTCCAATTCTTCAGTTAAGCTTGGAGAATAATTATACATTCTTATTGCTCAAAGTAGAGTCCAATAGTGTTAAAAAATCTTGGAGAATTCCAATAAGATATCTTTAATCATTTCTAAGTTACAGTGGTTCAAAGCTTAATCTACTAATTAGGCAATTTTTCTATTGCAGGATTTGGACAATTTCATTGTTACACACACACACACACACACACACACACACACACACACACACATATATAGATAGATAGGTAGATATATGTATATATGTGTGTGTGTGTGTGTGTGTGTGTGTGTGTGTGTGTGTGCATGTGATTCAGATTTGTTTGAATGTATCTCCAATTAAAGTCTACCATAAAAACCATTTATTTACTTATCTTACATCTCATCGATTGTGCAGTTCTTCATGATGAACACTTGATCTTAAAAGCTAAAACAAATCCATTCCTATTTGATTTCTTGAAAGCTAGAAAAATCAGTTTCTATTATCAGATGAAATACTTACTAACTCTTCTTCATAATTTATTGTCATCTTTGTGCCTTGTTTGCCTTCTTGAATCTGATTTCCCCAAACAACACCCCACCCACCTGCTCCAAGAGAAGAAAAGAGAGAAAAAGAACATTCGATAATGTTCATAAAATCTTCTTTACTTTGGAATGTTTTGGCTTAAAAGGTTGTTTCGGTTTTGCATTCTTTTACTGTGTTAGTTTTGTAAATTCTCCAAGTGCAAATCTCAAAGGGGATAGAAATGGAGAGAGCTTCTAACGTGTAACTGTTTTGAAAAGGCTGGGAGTGGAAGGGCCATAATAACACTGGGATTGGTCATTCTGGTCATTTGAGACAAAAAAATGTCTCTCTTCTATTGTAGGAGATTAACCTGTGAAGAATAAAATTGTACATGAAAAAGTTTTATGATGTGGATTGGAGTAGAGATATTGGAACTAAAAGGTTGGCTAAAAGTAAAGGTTACAGCTTTGCGGGGAAAAAAGGAATCTACAGACTAAAAGAGTTCATTCTGGGATTGAAACAGCACACAAGTGCTTATCTTGTAGCTTCTTGTTGATTTGCCACAATTTCCATTGGGTTTGCACATTTGCAAGTTGACCTTTTCTTACAGCATCTGAACCCTTAGATTTACAGTTTTTATTCTGGGGTTAGAATTCTGTTGATAAAAGCTGAAGGTTAATTTTTTTTCTCTTACACTTGACAAGTTCCTTTAAAAACTGCAATCATTAAAATGAGATTTTTTTAGTTGTTAAGAACCTTTTGTAACTGAAAACAGAAATCTAAATGTGTTTGACCGCTGATGTTACCTCAAAGTTTATGTGCAATGCAAATGATACAGGCAGGACAAATTCATGAGGAAGGCTGGGGAACATACTAGTAAAAAGGTTATTATAAAAACAACTATGATGAGGATATTAATATTGGCAATATATTATCTGAAAACTTTAGACATTACAAGAATGCACTGGCTAAATTATTATGATGAAAATAACAATGAGGATACTTGTCAAAAAAGCAATATTGATTGCTTCATTTATTTTCTATGGCTTAACCCATTGCAGGTTATTTAAAGCCAGAAAATATATTTAGATTATAAAATTTTTAAAAAATAATAATGATTTAGTTATCCAAGTCTTACTATTTAAGCCATAGCTGGGGGAGAAGAGGTAGATTCATACCTTTCCCAAGAGCATTTGGCATGTAAGTAAATATAATGAATCCAATAGTAATTGGAATTCAGCTCTGTGATTAATAATTGCAAGCCATTATCCATTACACCACCCTCACATCCAATCTTACAACACCTTGTATTCCCAAGTGGTCACTCATCTAGGTACTGACCAGGCTCAACTTTGCTTAACTTCGGTGATCATACCAGTGTTTAAATGTGATGTAGCAGTAAGGCAAAAAAAGAAAAAGCAATGTATAATGTCAATGAATTGTTATTGGCCAGACTGTTATCTAAGTACTAAAGTTATTACACTTTAATCTATTTAAAATCATTCTCATAAAAAAATGTTTGTATAATCCTTGTATTATTTCAAACTATTATTCTCATCTTGGTGGGTTTGTAACACTTTTCATAAGTTGGTATTTGATGATGAACAGAGGGTACTTAGTCAAAACAGTGTTTCCAAAATAACATATATCTCAACCAAGAAGAGAATGACAGTTTGAAAATAATAGAAGAATATTAACAATTACTCAACTCAGAAATGAAATAGTAAATTATGAAAAGTGGTACAAACTGACCATCATAAACAACTGTGAAAACCATTTGACACTGACTATAAAAGGCTCCAAAAATACACCACAAATATTCTTTGGGAAGGTAGCTTAATTGATATAGGAATTGGTTATACATATGCATTCATGGTCATGGGTTCAATCTTTGAACAAGCAATAAGAATATCACAATAATGAACAGATATCTCATATCATCCAATCAATGACACCTGATGAAGACCAGAGGATACTTGGTTGAAACCTTGTGTCTATAATAGCATCTATATCAACCAAGATGAGAACAATGTTTCGAAATAATACAAGAAAATTGACATTTGTTCATCTCAGAAATGAAATACTAAATTAAGAGTTTGTATTTCGGAAAAGTTGAAGAAAAGTGGTAGAATTCAAGATATTCTTCACATTGCTTTGCATTTCAATACTTTTGACATCAGAAAATTGTGAGAAATTGCCCCCAAAGGAAGCAATCTCAAAAATTTCAGGAAGAAAAAACTAAAAGAAAATGACATTTGATTTCTGGGTTCACTGTAATATATAACCAACCACTTACTCCTGTCTCAATAGTAAGAGTCTAAAGTTAAAATGGCAAAAACAAACTTCAGCCTGTTGTTAACTGGGGCAAAGAATGACTTGTTAATTTTAAAGTCTCCAAAACTAAACAGCTTTCTATTATTCAACTAAAAGTCCCCTCTTTGCCTTCCATCAGTATGGCTGATGATGGCCTCCAAGAGTGGGACTCACTGTGCTTTCTTGAGCTAATGTTCTTGACTGACATGATGTGGAAATACTATTATACTTCAGCTGATAGGAAGTTTGGTTCATGGTGTCAATCTAGATGATTTTTCTCTCCAGAATCTATCTTACATATCTCTAAGTCTACCATTGGTCTATGCTTAGAATATTGCTGCCACATATGGTATGATTCTTGTACTATTTATCAGAAGATCCTTGATAAAATCTCAAAAAGAATCAGCAATATTATTGGCCCTGATCTGGCATCTTTCCTTTGCCTTTCCTATAAATACTTTCAGATGAGCTCTTCACTATGGTACCTAGACTCTTTCAATATAAGTGCAACACTAGATTGGTGATCACCAAATTACAGCTGAGCTAGCTAAATGTAACTATAAATTCTATACAAACAATTTCTTTTCTCACACTTCTCATTTGTGAAACTCCCTGTCAGCTCCATGCTTTACAGTCAACTTTAATCGGCAAAAATTTAAATGCAATGCCAATCGCTATCTGCCATCCTCCTGATTACTCTTCCTCTGTTCTTTTTCCTTAACAATGTTCCTGTTTTTAACTTTTCCACACCCAATAACCCCTTGCATCTCAGTGGCATTACTGCCTTGCTTGAGGTGAAATCAATTAAAAAAACAAAAAATTAAGGGGTTTGTTTAATACATTGATGAATGCTCTTTTGTGTCCTGCTAGTGGCAAATCAAATATAAAAATATTTCTTTTTTTTTTTTTACAGTTAGATTCACCCTGTACAAAGCTCAGGGACACACAAGGCAGACGGTTACATTAAGAGGCAGTTTATACAGATAGGAAAGGAAGATAATAGTTAACTCTAGACTTGAGATTGTAGTGATTGGGGAGACATTCTCTTGAGAGTCAGTTCCATAGAACAGTGGTTCATGGTAAGAAGCTGGTTGAGTGGAACTTACTCCTCACAAATGGAATACTTACTCACTTAATTCTTTGATTGTAATTTCTTTTCTTTTTCAAAAACCTATTCAAGAATAATTTACATATTTTTAATAAAAATGTGTTTTATTTTAACCAAGTGCAGTTATATATTCACTCAATTAAATTTTTTCAGAGTAGTGGTAATGTTGATTAATTGTTTCCATACAAGAAACACTGGGCATTTATTGGTTGAACAGTTTTGCTATAGGTTGAAATTTAGAAAATCTCTCTCTTAAAAGAGTTTTTGAATAAAGTAAACTTTTCATGTTCACTGTTTCTAGCATTGATATGAGTTTCCTTCCCAACCTTTTGTTTGAAGTTGTGTGGAAAGTTGATGATGTCATTATTTTCTCTTTAAATTACATGAGTAATCCATTTTGATTGTTGTTGCTGTTGAACCCCCTCTATAAGACCAATGTTGTGTATGAACATACTTGCCCACTCAGAGAATGTTTCTGCATCAATAAAGAACACAAAAGATCTTACATAGGATATACCACGACCATACTGTCATGGAAACTCACTTTACACATATTGGATGATAACTTGGAAAGTCAAAGGTTTGGTCCATGTTTCTTGGGTTTTTTTTCTAAGGTGGACTATGAACAATTTCTGATGGAATTTCCTCTTTGCCTGAGAAGGATTGTTTGTAATATTGAAAAGTCAATCAGTAAAATTAATTGACACAAAATGTCTGTTGTTTTGGAAATGTTTTTGTTTTATCTGGGGGAACATTTGTTAACAGAAAAAAAAATATAATATATATATATATATATATATATATATATATATATATATATATATATATATATATATATATTTAGTTTGACTGATGTGATTTTTGTCACATTGGATTACACGCTATTTGTGATCATCAGACAAAGACAAATATCTTAGCTCTATCACTGATATTGAGCACTTTCCAATAAGTATCACGCATATATAATATATAAAAAATATACATAAAAACTGCATATATATATATTTATATACATACACATTTTATATATATATATATATATATATATATATATATATATGTGTGTGTGTGTGTGTGTGTGTGATGTACAGCATCAGCAATAGTTCCTTCAAACGTTTTATTAAAGAGCATAAATATTTGTGTCTATTGAGTTTGTTTATCTTTCTCTCAAAATTATGAAATATCCTTTGCAAAAATGGTAGATGTTGATGTACAAAATTTAACAAACTTTTATCATGGCTGTGTCCAAGTTTTCAACACATTTGAGTCATCATCAGGACTGTGCAATTAGTGTATTATGTGAAAACCAGTAACAGTTGTAAGTAGCACACTTAGTGCATCATTATATTTCAATTTAATAGGAAGTCCTTTCTACCAAATTGCAAAAAAATAGGCATAGAAAGTATGTGATGATGTTATTTTTTAAGTTTTATATTGTATGGTTAATTCATGTTTGTTTGTCTGATGTCAATGACTTTAATAATTTTCATTCTATTTCTTTTATTGGATCTATGTATAAATTTGGTGTTGCTTGTAAAGAGCACTAATACTACTATGGCCTGTATTGTTCTTAGTAATGCGTTAAGGGACATTCTGCAATTTCATATTTGGTCTATTAAATTTAAAAATCTTGAAATTGGCAACAAGCAGACACTCCTTCAGGCACATTTGTAATTCTTCAACACTCAATGGGAGAGGCTGCATAATCTGGAATGATCGTTAGTTGAACAAGAATGGTACTCTGTGACATTTTACTAGCTCAACCATCAATGGCTGCCGAAATGTTTTGACTACACAATTTCGTATGTTTGGTACAGTTTTCAGGTACTCCTTGAGTTAATATTATCATATAGTTTTCGTCCTTGGCAAATTGAATATAGTGAGATTCAAATCTCAGCCTAATGGGCAGAACACTAACATTATAACCATTTAGCTTTGCACCCAAATAATATATATATATATATATATATATATATATATATCTTTGTGGGTAAGTAAGTTGCCTTGGTATTTAGCACAAAATAACATCTAAATAATGTGATGGTATTATGGATAGGATGCTAATCACTGAAGGTTTGAAGTATAAATGTAAGTGGACGTGAGGATCAAAGGTCGACACAAATCCCTTGTATATAGTTTATTTACTGATAAATAAGCAGTGTGTGTGTGTGTGTGTCTGTGTCTGTGTGTGTCTGTGTTTGTGTGTATGTGTGTGTGTGTGTGTGTGTGCATTTATTAAGATGGACATAAACTTGCTCAGGGCTACAATAATGGTGAACCTAATAAAAATTAATCCCACATTCTAGAAGCCGATTAAATCTCTCTCTCTCTCTCTCTCTCTCTCTCTCTCTCTCTCTCTCTCTGCTACAATCCACTTTAACCTGATGCCAATGGCCCCAAACAATAGCCATTGATCAAGAGCTGAATCGGATAAAGAGAAACAAATAAAAAAGAGTTGAAGGAAAAGACACTAAATTTATACACTCAAGATTTCTTCTGGGATCACCAGAGTCATTTCAGAGAAAGAGTGAAAGAGAGAATGAGAAAGAGAGTGAAAGTGAGAGCAAGAGAGAGAATGAGAAAGAGAGTGAGAGAGAGAGCAAAAGAAAGAATGAGAAAGAGAGTGAGAGAGCAAGAAAGAGAATGAGAAAGAGAGTGAGAGAGAGAGAGAACAAAAGAGAGAATGAGAAAGAGAGTGAGAGAGAGCGCAAGAGAGAGAATGAGAAAGAGAGTGAGAGAGAAAGAGAATGAGAAAGAGAGAGAGAGAGAGAGAGAGAGAATGAGAAAGAGAGAGTTGCTGGAAAAAGAGGATTTTTGTACATTCTTCTACAGTTTACTTCTCTTCCAAAAGATGAAATGAGAAAAACAAAAAAAAAAAAAATATATATATATATATATATATATATATATATATATATATATATATATATATATAGGTGCCTCCAAACATGAG